GGTTGCTTGGACGGGCGAATGCATCAGGCCGACCGACGGGATTGTCCTTCATTACGCACGAAGGAAAGTGCAGTCATCGGCGTGCATACCCGTAGGTATGCACACAGAGGCATTAGCTCCCCCAAAGCCAACCGGTATTAATTCCACTAATTGGACGTGGTTTGGTTCGTGGCAAACATCGGTCCCCTACCGATCCTCGACCTTCCACGGACCGAGGGACTTGGATCTCGCGATCGATCGATCGCCTTCTCTTCACCGCAAACAACTGACTTTATCGTTTCCAGAAACGAACCAACATCCAACCTGTGTCGTCCTCTCCCTTCGTCGTACGGTAGGTTGTACTGTTTCTTTCAAGCTAATCACGGGGAAACAGTGTACGATGACAGATATCAAGAGGATGGACAACCGCGCCATTTCAAGGGATCTATTTTGGGCGAAACGACGGAGGTCAGGCAAGCTTTTGTCGAAAAAGAGGAACGGTAAGACGAACGGCTCCCGTATAGACGAGTGGCGATGGTCAATGAACGTTAGGCCCAGGGGGTCTCGTTTCGTTTGGGGTTGCACGAGGTCAAGGGATCAGCTGCGGTGAAGGAATACGTGTGCGAAGCCTGTTACGTATATATACGTGTACATATATACTGGTAACAAACGCGAGGAGGGTCTTTCCTCGTGGATCTGGGTCACCGGGCTGATGAGGACTGATCAGGGGTTGACCGCTAGAAAAAGCTCGAACGATGATCTCGTCTTTCTCTCTCGTTTTCCCTTCTCAGCAGCAGCAGCAGCAGCAGCTTCTCTGAACACTCTGTGAAAAACGAAGCGTTAATCGAAGTAGGTGTTTGATCGTATTGGAAATGGACATAACGAACACAGGTTCGATAGTTAATGTGTAAAGATATTCTTTGTTTTCAGAGAGGATAATAGAAAGGGAGAGGACGTGGACGTCGATCTGAAACGAAGAGTATCTCTGGCAAGAGTGGCGGCAGAAATTAGCGAGAGACAAGAGAGGTCTCGCGAAAGCCTTTGGGGAAAGTTCGGACGTAAGAAGCATCGGCGGATACGGACGCTTTAGGTATGGCACAAAGATATTAAGCACTCATACTTGGAGCTTACCGAGAGCCACGGAGAGTGTCGGGTATGGTATATATCGCGTATGCCGCCGTAGGAGGAGGAGCGGAGCGAAAAGGTGGTAGCGACGGGGTGCAGGAGGAAAAGGAGGAGAAGGAGGAGGAGGACAGGCAGGCGAAGGAGGAAGGAAGGGTGGCGGTGGGCAGAGGCGAAAGGGGGTGGTCGAGGAGCAGAGAGAGATCGCGAGGAAGCAGAGTTACCTACAGAAGAAATAAGTGCGCTCGTGTAATGCTGATGGCGAATATGGTAGAGGAGATCCGAGGGAACGGCGAAGAAGAAGGTGGCAGGGAGGACAGGCTCTCACCGCGCGCGACCGTCGGGAAGCAGGGAAGGGCGGAGGGGAGTGGAAGGGGGACCCCCCGCGCGCGCGGAGACCGACCGATCGATTCGAACGCCGGCGACATTCTTCGTCGTACGGACAGAGAACCGAGAAACAGGGAGAAACCGACGGAGACCGCCAGGGGGATGGAGGAGACGGACAGAGAGAGGGATACGAAGTCGTGACGGAGAATAGGACGGGTGAGAAAGAGGAAACAAGGTGGAGACTAGCGGCGGTCGCGCGCCAGAGAGAGCGCGAGTTTCAAGAGAGCGTATAAGCCATAAGCCAAGGTGGGAGGAGAAGCTGGAAGAAGAAGTGGGAGGGAGCTACGAAGAGGCAGCCGAAGAAGAGAGAGAGGGTCTTGCGTTCGCGAGAGATAAAGAGACGGCGTGTGCGTGCGAAAGTGAGAGGGAGTAGGCACAAGGTGAAGAAGAGAGCGAAGAAAGAGGAAAGGTAGCGAATAGGAGGTTACAGGGGTGGCGAGAAGAGAAATAGAAAGGCAGATAGAGTGAGTGCGAGAGAGAGAGAGAGAGAGAGAGAGAGAGAGAGAGAGAGAGAGAGAGAGAATAGCAGAGTTACGAGCAAGGGGTTGGTAAAGGGACGCGAGTCGAACGGAAGGATCGGGAACGGAAGAGAAAAAGAAGCGGAAAGGGTATGTACTACGTGCAGCAGAAGAAAGCAAAAAGGGGAAGGGAAGAAAGGAGAAACAACGAGGTGGAGAAGGGAAGAGCCGAAACGCGACAAGGAGCGGTGGGGTGGGTCGTGGAAAGGATGAGGGGGATTGGGGAGGGAGGGATAGGGGCTAGGGGGAGGTTAGGTTTAGGTGAGGCGAGGAGAGGAGTGGCGAGGTGAGGTTTGTAGCGTGAGGTGTGGCGAGGAGAGGTACGGAGAGGTGTATAGAGACGCGGCTTGGCGAGGCTGGGCGAGGTGAGGCGAGGCGAGGCGAACGAGAGAGAGCAAAGGGTGGCGTGGAGGGAGAGGTCGCGAGGAAAAAGAAGAAATCCCCACTCGTAGCGCGTAGATCGGCGGTAGGTTCGAATCGTACTGTCTTGTCGAGACTCGCGTCTGCGTCTGGATGTCTCCGTGTGTTAGTCGCCCCCGGAATCGTCCCGGTCGGCATCGTCGGTGCGCGTCGTCGGTGGCAGAGGTTGCCTGCACGTAGTGGGGAACGCTCGCTCGTCCCGCCACCAGTCGAGGGAAGGTTCGAAAGGCGTCGACGGTACGAGGTTACCGTCCAATAGGGAGAACTGCCACCCCGGTGGCTCCGCCAACCGGATAGTCGGTTGCGCGCACAGAACGCCCATCCTCCCCGTTCCTCGGGCTCCCACTGATGTTTTTATTTATTACATCTGTGACTGGGTAGGGAAATACTCCCGACTCGACCGAGAGAGCGTTTGCCACTTTGAGAACGAGCGACGCGCGTCCCTGCGA